CTAACTTAATACTATAAACTATATCTATACTAAAGCCTGAAGTAGTAAGTATAGCTAAGTACTATTCCTAGGTTTAGTTTTGTAAATACTTATTAATATCTAGTATCTACTTTAGTATGTTATATAACTATTAAAAATACTATTTAAGAAGTAGGGAATTATATACTCTAATTGTGACGGTTATGGTCACGAGGGCTGGATGTCACATGCTCGCTTAGCGAGGCGCTAGCGCGCACGACCTGTATTTAGTTCCCAGCTCTCTCGAGCTCTCCTTCTTTCCTCGTCTTTTGTCCTAAGAATAGAGTGTTAATTGTTCTGAGTTCTACCTGAAGCACGTCTGTCACACTAATACTCTTTATATTCTTCTAATAACTCCTTATATAGTTATAGATTTAGAATCTTACTATATTAAACCTTACTTAGTAGATTTTAGTATAGTCGAAAAGGTTACCTAACTACTAAATTTAGTCGTTTATTATCTAGTCTAATATAATATATATTCTATAATTCTATATATTCTTATGGGTCCTCTTATATAGGCTCTATATATAGAAACAAAAGCGTAATTCTATTCTACTAGTAGTATTAGTAAAATTATTATATTTAGATAAGTTCTAAGAAATAAATAAAATAAATAAAATAAATAAAATAAATAAAATAAATAAAATAAATAAAATAAATAAAATAAATAAAATAAATAAAATAAATAAAATAAATAAAATAAATAAAATAAATAAAATAAATAAAATAAATAAAATAAATAAAATAAATAAAATAAATAAAATAAATAAAATAAATAAAATAAATAAAATAAAAAGTAATTATATAAGCTAAAAACGTTATAATTGCTTATATATAATATTCTATAATATACCTCTATATAAAGTAGTAATTCTATACTATAATTAACTCTAAAGAATTTAGGTATAATACTTATATAAGAATAGTTTAAGAGATATTAATAAATAACCGATTAAGATATACGATTAGAAATACTATAATACGTCTATATAATATTATAAGAATATACGTTAATATAACTATATATCTTAATACCCTAGAGTAATAACTTATTATAACTATTTATTAACTATACCTAGTCTAGGCTAGGGATATATATATTACTCTAAGTTAATTCGCGGAGGTATTATAAAGATAGAAGATTAAACTAATAGAAGTATTACTATAGTTAAATAAATAGAATTAGAAATAAACAAATTAAAATATAACTCTATAGTAGAATTATTATATTTTACTTAGTAATTTTTAAATATAACTATTAATACCTATAAAAATATTATAAGTTATAATAGCAAGCTTAATTATATAAGTACTTTAGAGTTATTATAGAATATTAGATTCTATATTATATAATAAGACTTAGTTATTAGCGCTAACCTTTTAGTATTACTATATTAAAATATAATACTTATAAAATATTGATTCTAACTATTTATTCTATTACTATTATAATTATCTAATTAATATTAGAAGCTTAAAATTAATATTTATTTTTATTATATAGTTATTCGGTTTTTAATTACTACGCTTAGGCGCTAGCCAATCTTTCTCTATTAGACTACTTAGCGCTAATCGCCTTAGTATATGTACTACTTTTTTTTTTTTTAAATATTAGTTTTATATATAAATTTAATAAATATAGAACAAGTAGTAACGTGCATGTATAGCGAACCGGCCAAAATTTTCTACAGTCGCGATTGAAATTGTAAGAACTCTACCACAACGCCTCTAATTAAAAAACACTATTCAGAAATTTCTTCCTCAGATACTTCCTCTATAGTATTACAGGTGCGCGTATTATGACCAGTCTCTCCGCAGTTGCCACAGCGCCGTGCACGTGATTCTTCCCTCGGCTTCCGACCACTACTTCTCTTTATTTCCTGCATTACCTGCTCACCAACGTCTCTATCATCCTGTAGGTCCTGCGCTTCCTGTTGACTAAGTGATCCTCCTTGCTGTAGGCGTGTTTTTTTAGCTCTACGGCGCTTACTTAGTACTTCATTTGCTTGTCGAAGTCTCTGGTTCTCAGCTTTCAATAGTACTATCTGGTGCATTACTTTTGATGCACCCTTCGTAAACTGGTCAATGGCCTCGTAAATAGGGGTTGGAGAGCTACTTTGGTGGCGTAAAATTCGATCTTTAATAAATGCAGTCTGTGATAAGGCTTCAGTAGGGTTATTTGGTGTCTGGGAAACCCAAGGCTGAGCGGAATACGGGGGGGAGTTTGGAGGCGTTGGCGTCTTTAGCTTAAGATCAAGTGTAGAAATTACACTTTCTGGGTCAAATGGAAGAAGCCCAGCCCCTCGGAACCCTCCTCGGATATTGCTTTCTGTCATTGCAATATTAAATGCGGCGTGGAAGGCAGGAAAGAAATCATCCTTAGTAATATGGATGATCTGAGCCCGCATCATATCTTCAATTTGCTGACCATATGCCCTTTTCAAAGGGCTAAAACAGCCAACGTCGAGTGGCTGGAGTATATGAGAAGAATGAGCAGGCATACAAAGAGTGATAATGTTGTTTTCCTTGCAATATTCCTCAAATTCGTCGGAGTGGTGGCTTTCATGGCCGTCGAGGACTAATAGACGATAACCACCAATAGATTGGGACTTTGTATGCTTCTCAAAATGTCGAATCCAATCCATGCCTTTCTCATTTGTTGTCCAACCATTTTCAGTAATAGCAATCACCCAGTTAGGTGGAAATCCACTGTTTTGGTACCAAGAAGCGAGGTGATTTTTTGCGGCAACAATCACAAACGGTGGAACACACCAGCCTTGGGCATTAACCCCCTGGATTACTGTAACCCATTCCCGATTACCAGGCTGTACTCTTTTTGCTTTTACACGTCCTTCTGAGCTTGTAATAACCATTGCAGTTGAGATAACGCCCATCATAAACCCAGTCTCGTCAAAGTTGTAGATATCTGCATCGTAGATTCCGTACTTCGCTATTGTGTTTCGTACAAGCTCAAACCAGCCTCATTCGCTCAAACCAGCCACGAATGACTTCTGGATCTTCGCACTTAGCTCTCGGATAGTCGTATTTTCGTTGGAAGCGTGTCTGGAGTTCTGGGCGGCGCTTAACAAAGTTATAAGCCCAACGCGTCCCGACGCGTGGCGCGTCGCGTGCTTCAAGAAGTCGATTTGCTATATCTTCAATTACAGATATCCGCGGAGGAAATCCTTTTGTAGCTAGGTCGAGGATATGTTGAACAAGTACTGATTCCTCTAGCTCGGTCATTTTCCGTGAATTGGCTAAAATATCGCGTCGTGAAGGTATACCAAGCAAACGTCGACCTAGCTTCCGGTGGTCTACAGAATAGGTCCTGGCAGCAGCTCGAGCACGTAAATTTGGGTCTTTTTGAATAGCTTGGATAGCTAAGACTAACCGGCTTTCGTCATTTTTCAGAGGCATCCTTCGTTGTAGAGAAATTTAATATTTCGTGGAGCTGTGGTGGGGTCGCCGGGTTTTGGCCGGTTCGCTATACATGCACGTTATATTTATTAGAAAATAATAGTATTTTTATTATAGTAGTATTTTTATTATAAAATAGTAGTATTTATATTTACTTAAAAGATATCTTAGTAGCCTAAGATATTATATGTTACTAGCTTGTTTACTAGCGTGATTCCTTAATTAAAGCGTATATAATATACTACCTAAGGAGAATACTTTATACTATTACCTACCTTCCAGTAGAAACTACGAAGTTAAAGATATAAAGTTAGTTAGAAATACTTATTTCGTAAAAAGAGCGCTTAATAATAAGAAACCTAGAATAATATAGTTAAGGCTAGTGGGTAAGGAATTAAGAATATTATATAGGAATAAGTAATTAAGGCTAATAACTAGGATTTCGACGTAAACGTAAGAGTAGGGAGTAAGATTACTAGGCTCAACTACTATTAAGATTGATATAATTAGGCCTATAAGATATTAGGAAGTAATAAGTAGTTAGCTAATTCACTTTTTTTATTATTTCTTAGGTATCTTACTTACTAAATCTAATAAAGAAATTAAATCTCTATATTAATAAGAATACTACTCTTTTATAATAAAACTACTACTAATAATATAGATATTACTTTATGAATAGTTTTACTAGTAAACTATTAATATAATATATAGGTGGTATTTACATTACTAAAAGATAATTAGGTAGTATTTTTATCGTTTACTATATAAAATAAAATTAAGAGCTACTACCTAGATAGTTCTACCCTATAATAGTTCCGAGTTTACCCTACCTAGGCCCCTGTTTAATGGTATATAATACCTAAATAGAGTAGAGTAGAGCAGAGTACTACTAATCTAATTCTATTCCAACTCCAAATCCAACTCCCACCTTCCGCTCTACTAATTCAAATTCCTCCAACTACCACCTACCAACTACGAACGAACATCCATCCCGATTTCAATATCACAAAACACCAACCTACACCCTTACATATTAGTATAACCCTACCTACAACTCCATCCCTACTTATCCATATACGGAAACACCGCGTCTATTTTACACCAGGAAATGGCATAAGGTCACAATACCACAATGGTATCACATTACACCATATCATATCCTAAGTATAATAGTAAGATTACAGTGACTTCAAGACCTCTAGTCGTATGCCCTAACTAGTTTATTAGTCATGGGTTCTTTGGGAGTGAAGTCATACTGTACGCTGTGTTTATTTCTTGGAAGAAAAGGAAAGTATATGGTGTAACGTGTCTGCATATGCGTCGAGAATAGTAGGTAGATCGTATAGCATTACTCGTCATCTACGATGCATCCTTCTGGACCATTTACACCAGGTCAACTCAAGCACTTCACGTCTAATAGTCGTTCATTCACAACACACACCCACAATAACCAAAAAACCCCTCATTCAATTCAATCAACTCATCTACCACCCATCTCCTCCACCCCCCCTTCTCTCTAAAAAAAAAGCAATCCTCTCCCTAAAAACCAAAAAAAGAAATCAAAGCCCATTACTAGCACAAGTAAAAACACCCCCCACATTCCCCGCCGCATAACTATCAATAATACTCTGCACCGTCGTATACGTCCCCGCAGTGAGGAAATACAGTCCAATGAGGATAATAAAGATGTTGAACGCGAACATCATGTATCCCCAGGTCGTTTGATCTCGTAACCAGGTGACGCCCCCGTCGACCCGTCGCATGCGGATGTATGCCACGCCCCAGAAGATGAAGCCGAAGAAGGAGTCGAAGAGGGAGGACATGAGGGAGAGGAGGTCGGAGAAGAAGGGGATGACTTCGGCTATGATGAATGCGCCGCTGGGGAGTGTGTTAGTTGGGAACATAAGGGGAAGAGGAGGGAGATGGAGGGGAGACGTACATCCATGTTGCGGCCAAGATACCGGCCCATGCTGACCATCCTATAACTGTGTGACTAGTCTTGTGTTTCGTTCCCTCAAAGATACGGAAGAAGATAAATCTTGCAGAGACAGACGCATACAGAACTCCCAAGAAGATCAAAGTTGGAATCATGAACGAGAAGGAAACTTTCTTGTAAACCTCATTTCCTAGCGAACCGAATGCTGGGGCGGTATTGTATTGGTTTCCGGTGAAAGCATAGACTACAGCACCAACACAGCCAAAGACTATGATTTCCGCAATGGTAACGGCCCAGAGTGCTTTTGGAAAATCTTTGGGGTTTCTCATCTCGGCAATGAAACTTGGGAGTGTGATTTGACCGATGAAGGTGTAGCTGATGTTGAGAAAGGCACTCATTCCTGCCACAAAGGTAGTTGAAGGCAGGGGAATGGCCGTCACAATTGGTTCTCCGCCCCAATGAGCACCAGATACTGGATCAACATAGTTTGGATCTGCGTGGTAATTGGCTGGATGTTCTTCGATGCCAGCGAAGATGGCAGCCAATAGTACAGAGATGAAAGTAAAGAAGGCAGATGCCGTTGCGAGCTTGGCCAATGCGGAAAAGGTTCTCGGAAGAGAACAGAGCCAGCAGATTATGGTGGAGATAACTGCAAACGTAATGGTGCATTGGCTGTGATTTGTGATTGTGTTGAGATATTTAGCACTAACAAGCACGTGAAGACCCTGGGGATGATGTTAGACGAGGAAATTGGAGAAATGAAGAAGTTAATTACTTGAATGAAAGTGTTGTTCAACACAAACATGACGGCCGTTGCATACCAAGCCCAGGTTTTACCCCAGAAAAGCATTTGTCCTATATCACATACATCTCTAACTTCTGGATGTCGTAGACAAAATTCCCTGGAATAATTTAGTCGATCCCTTGGTCAGTTGCAAATATTTACTCACCAAACTACCAAAGAGGTGTAAAGAACGAGGCCAGCAACGACCACAGTCAAGATCAAACCAGGAACGAGACCGAGGACGGAATAGCTGTACGGGAAAGACATGATAGCCAAGCAAATATACTCCGAGAAAAGCAATGCAGCAGTCTAATTCTACCATTAGTAAACACTCAACCATCACGACTCTAGTGAAATGTCCTGGCATAGATGTTAGACCCACAACCTACCTTTTGCCAACTACAAGTCCTATACTGAATATCATTTCCAGCCTCCAGCTCAATCTGTTTGCCCAAAATATTGCTTCCATCGTCATCGCTTCCAAAATCGTAACCTCTCAGGTGGGGCAAAACGGGAGCAATTCGACCACCAACGGATTTGTCGCTAGTTCCATGTCTGCTTCTACCAGCTGTGGTATCATTTTCCAGGTCCGAGTTGGTGAGAGTGGTATCATTATGTTTATCCAAGTCGCCATTGGACGACAGTTTCTTTTCTAACGCCATTTTCTCGATGGGAAATGGATGATGGGGGCGTGGTAAACGAGGTAGAGAGTGAGCTGTGGGTACTGCATTAAAGGCAGGACGATTGTATGAAGCAGGGACTGAATTGAGATCACTTGACGAGGCCTCTTTCGCTCGTCACAGTCATATGGGGTAGCAGATGATTGTAAGGGATGTCAGCAGTCGGCGCAAATATGAGGATGTTGTTCCTTTAAGAATTCATGAAATGTTGATGGGCGGTGGTGGTCGAGGTCAAGTAATGACGGGCGGAAGCAAAAGCTAGTAGGCAGCTAAGACCAAAGGGTACTAGGCCATCATCGCCATGTAGCTTCTCGTCCTTACCTCGCCTTACGTAGTATTTCTCAAACACCGGGGATTCGAGAACGTGTCGAACAAACCAATGAGAAGGATTTGGGAGAAAATTGCCTGCTATTGTAGGCGAATTGCATCGTATTGCAAAGCCTGTTGGTGGGTCCAATGGCTGTAGAGGCTGACAGTTGAGCTTCCCCCAGTCCATACAGAGTACATCATACCAGGCCACCATCCTACAGTAATTTTGCTCACGTTAAAATCTCCAATATCTTCTAGACCATCCATTTATCAAACATCGGATGACGTTCATCGTCTCCCATTTCCAAGCACTGGGCAAAGCTTGACCCTCCGCCATCGCCTTGTACGAAGCCTTGCGGAAGCTTATCATGCTGTGGCCGTTTCTGCCGTTTACTGTTTGCCATCTTTGCGCCCGGAAGACGCTAGACGCCACCAAACACCAGGGTTCTATGGTGGCCGTTACCGACCCTCTGGCGCAAAATCGGAAAATCGACTTTTCGGAAAATGGGGTACACACTACCTAAATTAGTATAGCGGAGCGCCCTTTAACACTACTATATATTTGTAATATCTACGGATAAGGATTAAGGGAATATTAATATAAGGCCATTCGCGTATACTAATTTTATTTATATTCGATAATTCGTAGTATTATTATATTATAGAAATATATAGAATTAATAATATATCTTACAATAACTTTTACTAAAACTACTATTAAAAAGTCTAGAAATATTATTATATTAACTATGTTATTATATAATCTATTAAAGAGGTCTAGGCTCGAAATAAACACTACTTCTAATATTACTAGCTTATTTCTTATTATTTAATATATTTAGTTTAATATATTAAAATTATTTAACTTTATTATAAATAACTTTACTATTTATATTTACTTTTACTTTACTACTAGTATTTCGTAGTTTATTTCTTATTTCTTCGAGTATATTCTTTATAAGTTATTTTATAATATAAATTAGTTTCTTTTTACTAATAAATATAATAAGTTCTTTAACTTAATAACTATTCTTATAAGCTTAAAAAAAGCCTAGCGAAGGTGTAAATAAAACTTATTATAAGGTTGATTAATACTAGCTTAAATCTTATCTAATAAGTCGAAATTATTATTATTATTATAAAGCTAGGAAGTTTTAAGTTTATTATAAAGTTCGCGAGTTTTATTATCGAGATATTAGTATTATTATAAAAAGAAATATTATCTTATATATTATCTTATTGTTACGGAGTTGGAGGGACTGGGGTCTGGTCACGTGTAGCACGGCACGTGCGTGCCGCTGGCATCCTGTATTTAAGCTTCCGTTCCTCTGGAACTCTCTTCTCTCCTCACTTAGTTGTTCGCTCAATACAGCAGTTTCCGTTTGACTCCGTAGTCATCACAGCAAGCAGTGGTTCACTCCACACGGTTACACTTATAACTTCTAGTTTATTTTATGAGAATAAACTTAAGTATTATTCTCTAGATAATTATAAAGTTTATTTAACTTTCTTATTATTATATTCTACTATCTTTAATATCATTTTTAAATAAAATAATAGTTATAGGTTTTAATAAAATCCTTAATTTAGTAGTAAATAAAGTTAATATAAATATATTATAATATGATTTAATTAAACTTTAATTTATTAAAAAGACTTATTTACTCTAAGCTCTAAAAGTTCTCTATTTATTAGTTTATTTATTAATTAATTAGCGTTCTCTACTAGTATTTAATTCTTTAATTCTTTAATTCTTTATAAAAGTATTATTTATTTAAGTCTTAAAGGTTTATAAATAAGGTTTATTTTTCTTCCTAAATACTAGGTAGTATACTATTATTAAAAGAGTCTTTACGCCTTTATTTACTTATACTACCTTTAGATATCCATACTTTTTAATAAGTCGAAGATAGTATTTTATAATAGTAACTTATATACGATTCGAATAGCTAATAAAATAACTAAGTATTTTACATAAATATACGTTAATAATACTGTAGATTATAAAGCTATAGAATAAGAGTTTATTATAGCTATCTACTAACTAGACGCGATTTAGTCCTAGAACGAATTTAGTTAGTAAATTATAACTATTTATTAACTATATATTATTAGAACTAAAACCTTTAATAATATATTATATTCGAGTTTTCTTTTAGTAATTCTTATATATTTTAGTAGACTCGAGAGCTATTTAATAATTTAAATAGGTATTCTCTCTTTTACTAACTAAAAAAGAAAGCTTACAATATAAGTATATATAAGTTATATAATATCTATATTATATAGCTTAACTAAAGTAATACTTCTTTATAATCTATTTTAAGAGCTTAGAATCTTATTCTATAATAAAAGAACCTATTTAACGAAAAGAGAGTTTTTTTTAAATACGAAGATAATAAAGTTAATAATTAAATATCTATATTTTATAGAATTAATTAAGGGCTTATAGAATACGTTTATAGTAGTAGTTCTTATACTAGAGTATTATATTAACTCGAATTACTTTAGAATTATTAACTACGTTTATAACTTTTAGTAGAAAATTCTACTTTTTAAACTAATACTTATAAGAGTCCCGGCTTCGATAAATTAGTATATAAATAATATATTGAGACTTTAATACTTTATTTTACTTAAATTCTACCTAGAATTATATTTATTTAATTAATTATAAACTATAAGAACTTATCTCTTATAATATAGTTCGAATAAATATTCTTTATAAAAGTTCTATTTAGATTAAGGAATAGTTATATTAATAGAATAAAAGCTTAAGTAAGGATTTTTTAAAAATTTAAATATAAAGTATAAGATTTAAAGAATATAAAATGTATATTAGATTAAGGAAATATAGGTTTATAAAGGTTATAGATATATTTTTATTAAATTATATAGTATAGTAAAGTAGTAGAGTAGTGTGACGACACGTACGCAAGGCCCACGGTGTAGGTTGTGGAATCGTAGAACTGTCAATTAAACAAAGATTCTAAGCTGAGGAGAAGAGGAGAGCTCGAGAGAGCTTCGATCTAAATACTTGGTGTGGGTCGCTAAGCGAGACCACGTGATCCGAATGGTGGTGACGGTTAGAACCGTCACAAGTAGTAAAGAAAAGGTAAAAATACTAACTAATAACTATTTTATATAAATATTCTAAGAAATAATAATTAATACATTCTTATTTATTATAACTAAAATAACGTTTAAAACTCTTCTTTATATAAAGAAAAATACTTATTTATATCTACTTCTAATATATAATAAAAATCAGAATAATTATAATCAAAATATATAAACTAAAAGAGTATAAAAGTAAAGGAGTAACTTAGAAGGTTATATATATTCTTATATAATAATAGAAGCTTTTAGAGCCTTATGTAACGAATACTCAAACTGGCTAACTAAACTTGGCTGGGTGTTCGCTGGTTGGTATGCTATGATAAGAAGAAGACTATCGGGTTGTTCACTTGAAAGTGAACTCGTTACTTGTATCAAAGATGTCAAACTAATATGATAAGATTGATAACTAAGTAGAGCACGAAGCTCCTATCTAATGGCAGACGTGCCAGTCTTATATAGAACCTTCGTTCTCTCTACATCGCCTACATCAACTGTCGATGTAGTCGACCTCCAATCGCTAACATCGACTGTCGATACAGGCGATGCGATTGATCACGTGACTACATACACGAGAAATCCTTGAATAGCTTAGCTAGTCTAAGCATCCCTATTTGCTATAAGAAACCTGGATGTGCCTGTCGAGGGTTGCGCCTCTTTATTATGACA